TGCCCCAACATGGTAAAGAAGGAGCTGTGCCTCTGCCCTGGGGGTATTTCAGATGATGGTGACTTGAGCTCAGGGGAGTGAACTGCAGGGCTGCACCTGGGAGCAATAATGTCCTGCTGAGTGGACCCCATCCCTGCCCCAAGCTCTGTGCACACTCTTGCCCCCACCAGGTGATGCAAGTGCTAATTACATGATGATGAGATTGGCTCTGCCTGTGATGAATCAGAAACAACTGCTTTACTCCTTCTGGGTCACATGGGTGACTGAATGGTCCATGATCTGTTAAGTGTTCAGTCACCCTGACTGCCACCATACTCTGTTGGAGTGCAAATGTGCTCTGGTTACTCCTATCCCAGCTGTTGAGGGTGCTAAAAAACATCAGCCCACTGCTCCCTGCACAAGATCTCCTGGGGCTCGGTGAGATGCAGGAGCCCAGTGTGGAGGGGAGGAGAAACATAGAATTCCAGCCTAGTTTGGGTTGGAAGGGACCTTAAAGCTCATCCAGTTCCAACCCCTGCCACGGGCAGGGACCCCTTCCACTAGAGCAGCTTGCTCCAAGCCCCTGTGTCCAACCTGGCCTTGAGCACTGCCAGGGATGGGGCAGCCACAGCTTCTGTGGACAGAGGAGAGTACCTGTCCTGGACTCTGCTCACAGGCAGTGATGCTCACAGAGCATGTAGCACCCCCTCTATTTTACAACTCAAATCACCGCCCCCCGTGGCTATTTGGAGTTCAGAGCCCTGGTCCACGTCAACCCAAAAGCTCAGATTTTTATACCTTTTCCTCACCACTGAACCAGGTTAACTGAACTGCTGACCTAGCTGGGAAATGCTCCACATCTCATAAATTACAGCCCTCACAAGCCATCTCATTGTATGAGAAATGCTGAGGACAAGGAATCTCTAAGATATACAGCTAGAAATGTATAATCCATAAAAACAACATGTAGAATAGATAAAGATAAAATATAGAGTAAACAGAGAGAGAAGGTTAATTTTTGTTCCCTTACACAAAGGAACATCAAAAATAAACAGAAAGACGACCTGTGTAAGGGAGGAAAAGCATAACCCAAAGCTTGTTGAATTCAACAGAAAGATATCTCTCTGTTTCAGCAGCTTTGAGCCAGACATGAAGATAAAGGAAAGACACCAGAACGCAGGCTGGGATAAAAACATGCACCAGATGCCAGATTTCTTCTGGTAGCTGCCGGGTGACGGGTCACTGCTGATGGATTGCAGAGGAGGAGCCAAGAGCGATGACAGAGGTCTCCTGGCTCAGGGCCAGGGGCTCTCAAGGATTTGGCTGCGTTTAAAGGCAAGCATTCGTGCAGTGACTGGGGTAACTTGTCTGTGCCAGTCTGTTTATCAGGACAAAAATCCCTGAATGAAAAAACACAATCTCTATTACAATGCTTGTGTGTAGCATTAATAATCTGTCCAAGGAGATGACAATATTCCTGACTAGAAAAATGGAAAGAAGGATGGCCTTTGGGCAGATTTAGTCAGGTTTCCCATGGATTGCTCAACACTTACCTAATAGGAAGTAAACCTTCCCAAAATATGGTGGTGCCTGTGAATTCAAATGCCACCCAAAAGGGAGACTGTGGGGGAACTGGCTGAAGATTCCTATCCTTATTGCTAGATGCTGGAAACAAAAATAATGCATGTAAATATTGATCAGAACAGACATAGAAACTGATTTGAAGATTCCTTGCTACTGGAGCAGGAACAATGGGAATATGGTCCAACAGGCTCCATGAACCACACAGAAGGTGTGGAAGGAAGGAAACTGCCTAAATGGAATGTGGAAGAAAAGGTGGTAGCAATTGCCCAAGCCTGGCACTTGCAGCTGGGATGTTTCTGTACAGGATGTGTGGGGTGGAAGCAACCATAAAACCCCAAGAAAACAGCCAGCTAAAATTAAATGTACACCTCTACTACACTCTTCATTAGCACAAAGCCATAAGATCATCAATTTCCATCAACAAAACATGAAGACAAACTGATCTCTGGTTTTATATTTATGCTCTGAAGGAAAAGCTTTTAACTTCTCAAATAGAACAGCTCCCAATTTCTGACCAGCTAATGCAAACAATTCTACATTTCCCCACAGAAACACCCTCATATTTTGTTTTAAGCATTTCATTTTGCAAATAGATTGTTACTTCAATAAAAGCTATGGAGAAAGTAAAGATTAGAATGGACATTTAAATTAAGCTATAACTATTTGGCATCCAATCTGTCCATAATATTAAGATGAGAATCAGCAGCTTCAGGAATTGTATCATATACACTTGTTTGGTAGATACTCGTGCTTCAGGTTATGAAATGATGGAGGTCAGGAAGCAATTTTCTTGCATATATTGCTGACAGGCTAGCGACAGTGAAGGGATTCTTGCATAGTTTTTGAAGCATCAGTTATAAGTCACTGTCAAGAAGATCCCACACAAGGTGGGTATTACTTTTTCCATAAATGAATTTCAAAAGAAGAGCCTGTTTCTCCAGCTCTCACTGTGACAAAAGTCCTACCACAGGACAAAAACCTACGGAAAGCAGTCACTGAACTAGATGCTTATAGAGTAATAGGAGCAGCCACCCCATTTTCCACTGAGCAGAGCTCAGAAATAAGAGGTACACGTACAACTTCAGCTTTAGAAGTTCAAGGCTCCTCTGCACTCCAGGAAATGACAGCACCCAGCAGCTTTAAAACCCAGCTGAGCCCAGGGCTCTCCACGGGTAAAGCCAAACAGTAAAGCAACCGAACATGGAGTAAATGAGGAGCAGGTTCCTGCAGCCCAGCAGCAAACACAGCCTCTCCAGAGGCTCCACCAGCTCCAGCACTGGGAAATGGCAGCCCCACATCCCTGCATCCCCACCCCTCATTCCCCAAATCCCTGAATTCCCATCCCCATCCAGCTCTGCAGCTGTCAGTGGTACTCACCCCTCCAAACATCTCTCCTTGCCATGGTGGGAGGTTGTCCATACATGGTTCCGCCTGTGCGTAGCTGCTGAGCTTCAGTTCTACCTGCCAGGAGCAGCTCACATGTGAAGGCTGAAGATGATCTACGACCAGCTGGGAAGGAGAACACTGCTGTTTATGTCTGAGAGCATGGCTCAGGGTTTTGTTTCCACAAAATAAACTGTAAAAACTTAAAAGCTCCTCCAGCTCCAACCCCTGCCACAGGCAGGGACCCCTTCCACTGGAGCAGCTTGCTCCAAGCCCCTGTGTCCAACCTGGCCTTGAGCACTGCCAGGGATGGGGCAGCCACAGCTTCTCTGGGCACCCTGTGCCAGCGCCTCAGCACCCTCACAGGGAAGAGCTTCTGCCTAAGAGCTCAGCTCAGTCTCCCCTCGGGCAGGTTCAAGCCATTCCCCTTGGCCTGTCCCTACAGGCCCTTGTCCCAAGCCCCTCTCCAGGTTTCCTGCAGCCCCTTTAGGCACTGGAGCTGCTCTAAGGTCTCCCCTTCAGGAGCCTTCTCTTCTCCAGGCTGCCCCAGCCCAGCTCTCTCAGCCTGGCTCCAGAGCAGAGCTGCTCCAGCCCTCGCAGCATCTCCTTGGACTCGCTCAAGCAGGTCCATGTCCCTCTTGTCTTGGGGGCTCCTAAGAAACCCTGATCCAGCCATAGCATGGAGGAGGGACAGGCACCCCAAGGTTGTGTGCTTAAACATGAAATTAAATGATACCACCAGGACTGGGGGGAGGGGATATCTTTTTGCAAGAAAAGGAATACTGGTTTATAAAAATAAATCTCTCTTCAAAGTGGAGTCGCTCGCAGCAGCCTCTTCAACATGACAAACAGCCCATATAGCAAAACAAAGAGTAGATCACTCAGTCTCATTACCAAGACTGAATGCACTCTCTGAGAACTAAGAGACACTTATGATTTATGCTTGTAAAAATCAATTGCATTTTATTGATTACCAAGATTAAGAAAAGTAAAAGAAGTTTGGTTAAACTCGGGGAACAGTTACAACAGGTCTGAAGTTAAAGCTATCTGGAACACTGGCAGCTTCAGCCTGCCAGGCAAACAGAGTGGGAGAAGGCTGGGCAAGTCTTCCCTAAGCAGAGCTGAACATTTCATATGGCAGTATTAAAGGAGTCAGCTTCACTTTTGCACCCACTCAATTTATGGCAAGTAAATCACAAAGTCAAAGCCAAGGTCATTTCTGATAACAAGATGGCAGAAATGCACCCAGCTGCATAGAGAGAAAAAAACAAGTGATTTTGGCAGTTTTGGTTCACATTTATAGTGTTTAAGCTCTTCGAAGCCTGATTCATAATTGGTGCCAGATGCTCTCAATACACATAGGGAAAGACACTCTTTGTTCCCATAAATTAACATGCTAAAAAAAGCCAGACAGTCAAAGGCTGCGGAAGTGAGAAGGATGGTTCCCCTCTTTGCTAAAGGTGATGGCATGAGATTGACTCACTGGGAATTGCATGAGAACTGGGTGGCAGCAGGGGATGGAGCCCTGGTCCCTGCCCTGTGTTGTCTGTGCTGGCAGCCACCCCACTTCCCATGGCAGAGGGTCTCCCAAGACCATGGGGACCATAGGAACTGCCCCCTTTGGGTGAGGAACACACAGGGCTCTGGTGGGAAGCACAATCCAGGTGCCACCGTGTCTGCTGGAGCAGCTTCCTGGTGTGCCATGTGTTCATTTTACTCCAAGGCTGCTGCCTGCTTGTTAGTTGTTAATGTGGGAAGTTTAGTGTGGTACAAAAGACGTCTCAATGATCAGCCCCTGCTATCTAAATTAAATCTTGCTGCTATAAAATTCCAGGTTTCTCACACAATTTCTGCTCCTGCAAACAGCTTCTAATATGGAGCAGAGCCCCACGAATAGTATGAACTACAAGGTCACAGCATTCAGCGAGCAAAAAAAAAGCAGCCAAACAGGAGATTAAGTATTAATTTCAGGGCAAGGTTCCATTTGTTGGAGATTACTCTATGCTGTATGTATGTAATACCACATTGCAGTAATTAAAGGCAGAATGATTTACACAGCTGCAAGTTGGAGAGATGTTGTTACTGGGCTGGGTAGAGTTGCCTACAGCAGAGCAAACCAAATTGGAAGCGGTTGTCCCAAGGAGATGCTTGTTTGGCTCATCCCAGTGTCCTGGCCAAATTCCAGTGCAGGCAATCTCCCTGTGCATCTAACTGCCATCCCAAACACCCACAGGGCTGGGGATGGCTCACTCTCTGTCCTCACTGGAGTCTGGCATTGCTGCATGCTACCAAAGAGCACTGTGCCCCATTCTGGGGGACAGATACAGCTTTAGGTGGCTCTGAAGCCAGCAGCATCAGGGAGGCTGTTCCATGGGTTAGGGAACAGTAAACTTCATTCAAAATACACACTGGCCTCTGCAAGGCAAGTGGAGGAAATCAGAACTCTGCCTCTGGCCTCCTCTAATATTTTCCCCTTTTTATCGTTATACTTCTGCTTTTGGGGGTTCTTCTGTACCTACCAAATGCCTGGGCACTGGGGAGGAAGGGCTGTGGGCGCAGTCCAGCAACCAGCACGTCTTCCAGAGTTAAGATATGCTGTGAGCAGTTGGGATCAGGAGCTGGCGCATCTGGAGGAAGAAGAGTTATGACTGGGAATCAAACGGAAGGGTCTGATGGAACATCACACCATGAATTTCTGCCTGATCCAGTCCCTATGGATTGCACGCAACTCTCTTGTTTTTATGGAGCTGTGCATCGTGTCAGGATGAAGAATGTGCTTCGTGAAAGGAAGTGTGGCAGCAACAGCACTGCTGGGCTGGGTGAGGGATCCTTGTAGGAGCAGCTGTCACATCCCACCCCTACAGAGGCTGCAGGATCTGTGTGTGCCCCATCATCTGCTGCCTCACACCCTGCTGCGTTTCAGCAATGGGTGAAGCATCTCCCTGGTGCACGGTGCGTGAGGAACAGAGGGTACTGTAAAGACATTACTAAGTACTGCATGTATACAAGGGCTGCTAAAATTGAAAGAAATTGCAAGTAATAGTTTCATGTTTGTGCATTTTGCAAGTTCAGGCAAGTACAGTTCTATCTGCATAACATATTGGACATGTTTCACATCACGTTTTGCATATAAAGTGCTTCTCAGTGCAGAATTTGATAATATCATGGATATATGAGCCATTCAGGCAGGTATGATACTTATGTATCACTGAAAATCTAATAGATGCCCTGCATGATGAACAGAGCACAGCTCCCCAGCAGTGGGTAAATTATCCAATAGAAAAATGAACCACTCATTTAGAAAATACATAATTTATTTAATCAAATGTGCCATCTACTGAACCAGGTACAGCAAGTAATGAACCCAGTGGATCCCCCAAAGAGAGAGATGAATCACCTGCTGGAAGTATTTGCTGTACCAGCCCAACGTGTTTAGCTCTTCATCTTGATACTGGAATCACAACCTTATCATCAAAGTTAAAAGTTTAGCAAGACTTTAAATGCTGATTGCATATTTATACAGCTAGGAGGAATACACAAAGGTATGATAATGGAATTGAGGAAGATTGCCAGGACACAAGGCAATCTCAGAATATTAAAACCTATTTCCCCTGAGTAGATGTTATTCCAAGGCTGTGGAGTGACCTGCATTTAGTTTTGATGGTGATTATAAAGGTAAGACACTGGCTGCTGAGGACATCAGCTTGATTCTGCTTTTCCCATTAGTTGTTGAGCTCAGCAATACTCAATTTTGGTACATGAGGTGTACAAATGAATTTACACACTGAAGCCACAGCCCTGCACTGAATTCCCTCCAGCTTGGACCCTTCCTTTGAATCATCACTCTTTTAAACAGTCATTCTTTCCCATAACTTGATAAAACTCCTGTGCAGTCTGAACACCTCCATTTAAATGAAGCAACCTGGTACCAGATGTCCCATGCACAGGTTTCAGTTCAAAACCATAGCTTCTGAATGTGTCTGGCTTGGGAGCAGGAGCTCTACACATGGGGAGATAACATCCAGAGCTATTTTTCCATCTCCCTTTCATTTACTTTGCTGCTCCACATCTCAGCATTCAAGTTGATGAACGTGCTGAAGTTAATTAAAGTACAGAGGATGTAATAAGACTAAAATGTTTGAGTTCTATCAATCACAGAGTCTAGTGAGTCAATAGTTGAAATTAATATATCACAGAGGGGAAAATCCTCAACATGGATCTGAAATTAAAGGTGGAGGGAAGGAGGGATTGCACAGTGCAGGGTACTTCGATAAGCACATCTTAGTGATAACATGAGTGCATTGCTGTATGTTTCCTGTTCCAACACACTGATGGATGTGGCCTGTGCTTAGATTCATTTAAAAGGCTCGTCGTGTGTTTTTAGGATATCAAGGACTAGTCACAAAGCTGCAGCTAAGCCTGTACCTCAGAGCCAAGAAGGATTTAAGCCTTTGAAATTCCGTGCCAGGTGATATATCCCAAGAAATATGCACTTACCTCACCTCTCCCAGCTGGCATCTCCCCGAAGCTCACACTGAAAGCTGCCTGGGGGTTCCCGAAGCAGAGAAAAGCTCAACCAAGGGTAGCCTGTGCTTCCCACAGTGGTACTTGGTTATCCTGAATTAAACCCAGCGTTTCTCCTCCTCTGCTCAGGTTCATTGCAAATTCATTGGCCATGAAAACCTGTAAGAAAGAAGCGCAGCATGACTGTAGCTCAAGGACCAGTCCTGGCATATGGCACTGCTTTGGTATGTACTCCACACACATCTGCTTTAGTGCTAGGCAGGCTGCATTACAGCATCCCCAGTTTGGGCCAGTCATCCTCCAGTTAAGGGCATTGGCACAGCCAGCCTGCACTGCCCTGGCTCCCACCCATGGGTGCTGGTGCATTAGTGAGGATGATACCTTCAAAACCTAACGTAACTGGGAAGGAAACCAACTCAGCATCCCCCCAGCTCTGCTCAGGGACAAACCCCCACTGCACGTGCAGTAGCTCTGCAAGGTGCTCTGGCCAGTGAGTGCAGAGCTGTCAGTGTGATTCAAGCCAGTCCCCCAGCCCTGTCAAACGGCTGTTTTCCAGACATCATGGAAGGGAAGGTAAAAAGGGCAAAGCCACAGAGAACCTCCCCCATGTTAATGCCAGTCTTCTGATAAGAAAATACTGATTCCAGGACTCACTATGAGCTGAAAGGAGAGACTGGGACAGGAAAGGGGAGCAGGATCCCTGAGAAAGCTGTGGCCATGTCAGCTTCTTGCTCCACTGCAGGTTTCTTTGCTAGCTTTAACAACTGATGGAGGGAAAGGAGAGAAGAAGGGAGGAAGGGACAGCATTGGGAGGGCTAGGGACTTTAAGAGAGGATTTTGGCAGTGCAGTGCCAACGTGTGACCATTTGGAGCGTACCTGCACTCAGTGACTTGTGTACTTGCTGTCATAGTGACAGCTCTCTTTCTGCATAAAATATTTAAATACAATTTTATCAGCCATTCAAATCATTAGCCACAGAGATCCAGGCTTAATGTACAGCGAGGACACTGCACATGAATATTTATTAAGCTTGATTTGTTTAAGGAAATACATTGAGCCTTTTGGCGTAGGCAATTGCTGTGGAATCAAACTGTGAAAGACATTAATCACTGTCAATGAAGTGTGTAGGGTACACACTGCCTATGGAAATGAAAGGATAAATAAACACACGTTGCATGATGCTCTGAAGACTGGAGAGAGCTGTTGCTTAGGAATGGGCCAGTGTCAGGGGGCTGTGTTTGGAAAACTGCTCCACTGGACAACACTGCAGGCAAGGCCTGCATCATCAGTGCTGTTGATGGCTGTGGCCCGGCAAGGCTGCCTCTCACCTCAAACAAACAGCATTCCTTAGTGACACCGAGATGGATGTGGTTGTCACCCACCAGCAGACTCCAATGGAACTCAGGCTTTCCCCAGCAAAAGGGGCTGAATCCAGGTGCACACCCCAACGCCACTGGAAGAACAGGTGGATTTTCCCTGCAGGGTGCAAGCACAGAGGAGGAGAAACAAAATTATAACCTTCACTTACAAACAGAGATGAACTGTACATCACACAATGAGGTTTGCTTCCGCTTGGGTACCCAGAGCAGAGGGCGATGGAAGGGCTCTGTGCTGGGATAACCACCATCTGCTCAGGTGTCTGCCCTGCCTGCAAAGCCAGTCCAGAACAACCTATCAGCACCATGTAAATACCTGAAGGTACTTAGTGCCAGTGACTTGCCAGGAGGAAAAGAAGGGGGAGCTCATTTGCACTGGTTAAAGGCTTGGGACTCACCTGGGTCCACAGGCAATTAGCTCCTCTGTACCTGTGAATGCCTTTGTGTTCAATGTTGTTCTTCCCCGGGAAGTTACCAAAGGCTGCAAGGACAGCCTGGCACACCCATGACAGTCACTACTGCTGGGGGGCTGCCAAGCAGACAGAGTTCCACTGTGCTCAGCATCATGCTCCCCAGTGGAGCCCAAGCTGGTGTCTTTGGAAAGAAGTTCCCCTTCAGCGTGTGTAGCGCAGTGATTTTAGGGTATGTGCAGTTGCAAATGAAGCTCTGCCCATGAGGATGAAAAACCACCACTGAAATCGGGTGTTTGTTGTTTCCAGAGCAGTTGTGTAAGGGGTTAAGTGGGAATGGGAGACACTTTCATTCCTCCCTCAACGTTTCTCCTTTTACTGTGGTTTAAATGAGAGTGCTATTAAGGAAGAGGAAGGTTTTGCGATGTGGATGTTCATGGGGGAACTAAGGCTTAAAGAGAAAAAAGTGTTAATAAAGCGCTTTTAAAATTTAATCTGAGAGTTTATTTTCTCCTTTGCTGCCTCCTCTCCCCAGGGGACAGATTTCTTTCTTGCCCTGCAAAGGATTTAGTACAAAACCTTCCTATTTTTTCTGGAGCCAGCAAGAGAGCGGCAGAAGCGAGAAGAGTTTAGCAATTCTGAGGTCAAGGAAATGATGGCTGCTGACCTCTTTTGTTCTGAGCCAGTGGCTTAGGAGAGCACATAAACAGATGAGGGACCTCCACGCTCTGAACCCAGCTCTGCTGCAAGGCTCAGCTTAATTTGGCTAAAAATAATTCTCACTTTGTTCAGCTTCTAACACTTCCCAAGCTCAGGGAATGAAATGGAAATGAAAACCCCAAGGAAGGTGAGAAAGGCTCTTTCTGCACATGTAGGGGCTGACCCCAGGAGGAAGTTCTGGAAATCTTATCAAAACCCTGGTGAAGGTGAGAGTCTAGCTTGATGGTCAGGCTCACATGGGGTCCTGATAAACAACTAAGGGTCTGGTGCAGCATCTGAGCCTTTTGAGACCCAGCCTATAAACTCCGAGTCCATTGCAACCTCCCCATCACTAAACATTGGAAAGCTGCTCCTGTTCTTAAGATTTAAAATGCTGATTTCCCCTCAACACTTGCCCAGCTGAGGTCAGGCATGCAAGTCACAATAATAAACACACAGAGGCATAATTCCACTGCCTAAGCTAACACAACGTGTCAGTGGAAGGGACAGAAAACTCTCCCATCAGAGTGATCACTTCATATCGCTCCTTCAACACATGCCCTCGAGACAGCCTCTGCGCCCTCTGCACTGCAGGGATGCTCTGGCAGCTCTGGACCAGCTTTTTGGTGGCTGCAGCTCCCTGTGACACTGATTTCTGTGTGCTAAAGAAAATGTGAACTGCTGTCAGAGCAAAGCATGGTCCTGCCAGTGAGCAACCTTATTTTATGGCTTTAGGGCTCTTGCGTCTGCTACCCCACACCCTGTCTGCAAATCGTATTCGGAGAGGAACTGCTGCTGGTTTTATGCCATAACTCAGAAATTATTAGCTTCCATATTTTTTTATACATACCTCCATTTCTCTTCAAACTTTTATAGTGATGGATTAATTAATTAAATTAAATACAGCTTGCCCTGACTTCTGTGATTGCCGGGAGTACTGTGCAACTTTGGAGGCGAGGCTTGGTGCGAAAGCAGCTGAAAAACTACTGTAAAACTTCATGGGGTTTTTTCTCCTGACACGTTTACACGGTTTTGGGATAATGTTGACATTAAGGAAGGAACTGGACAACACCATGGGAGCAGCAGCTTAGCCCAGCTGCTCCTCGCCTGCAGCCAAGCATGGAACCGGTGCAACATCTGGAAGGCTGCAGCGCAAGGGGAGAGTTATGAAATATGGAATAGGCTTTATCTGGAATCAACATCAGTGGTAAAGGGTGTCAGGGTTTTGAGGAAAACAGAACAGACTTGGCCTTTGTAGGAGAAAACACAAGGCAGCAGATAGCCACGAGGTTACACAAAATTAAACTGAATCACTGGATACTGACCAGCGAACAACCTCTGATGTGGCCAAAGGCTGGAGCGACCTTCTCAAGGACCATGTGAACTCTGAGGTACGCCTTTTCACACAGAGGCAAAGCAGAACACAGGATACCAGAATATGGAGTGAAGTCATTCAGCAAAACAGTGTGTTAAACTGCTGCCTAAAATTGTGTTACAGAGCAAAGCTGCTTCAGAGAGCTTGGAAATATGTTTCTGAATAGCAGATATGTTACAAGGGTTTAAAATGACTCTCATTAACTCCTTAAATGGAGAAGAGTGTCTGGAGTTTCAATAACGTACCCAGAGGAGCAGTAAAAAGTAGGATTTAAGACAGCTTGAATCAAACCTGACTTTCATTTCAACCTGCATATGATCAGGGAGGCGGGAATGCTTCATGGTGAAGGTAGGAGGAGGGTGCTAGAAAAAATCTGTAGTGCCCAAGAAATTTCATTTTAAAAGTGATGATAGAATCACAGAGTGGTTTGGGTTGGAAGGGACCTTAAAGCTCATCCAGCTCCAACCCCTGCCACAGGCAGGGACCCCTTCCACTGGAGCAGCTTGCTCCAAGCCTCTGTGTCCAACCTGCCCTTGAACACTGCCATGTCTTAGGATTATGTTGTCTTAAGGAACATAAAAACCATCTGGCTCCCAATGAGATTTGGACTTTGTGAGGATGATTCTCTTTTGAAATGTGGGGTGAGAGAGGAGGCTGGGGTGTGCTGAACACTCAACCCACAACATTGAGGGCTGGATGCAAAATGATGCCAATGGAAGCTAATGGGAGCTTTGCCGGGTATGTGTGTGTGTGCGTGCAACATGCCCCACCATACTTCCCAGTGCAGGTCAGTGGATGAGGAGCAGCGCAGAATAGGGATGCCTGAAAGGGATTTACTTCAAGCCTTTAAATCAAGCCAGGACAGGATTGCCTCCCCTTAAATATCTGCTTTACTTTAAGGAGTGAAATGTAAGCTTGGATGAAAAACAACCAGCTGAAACCCTGTGGCCTGTGCTAGGCAGGGAAGGCTAATTGCTGGTAATGATCCCTTCAGAGGTGGCAATCTGAGAGCAGGTAGCTATCAATCTCTCCCCTAATGGAAAGGTGTGCATGTCATTCAAACCCCCTTTGTGCTGGCCACTTGCCTCTGTCTGAGTGCTTATGCTATACTAATCACTGCAGTAAATACAAACCCTGGGTGATAATTTCCAGTAACACTCAAAGGTGTTTAGGGAAAATGAGCACTCTGCTCCCCACACCAGAACCTTGCTTTTGTCTTGTTGAAGACTGGAGGGTTTTATAGAACTCACTTCACTTTCTAAAGTATAAAGGAAACCCCCATATCCCTCCTGCCGCTGAGTTAAACAGAGTGTTATTCAAATTATGCAGGGGGAAAAAATGTCATAACATAACGAGACTCAAATGCTGGCTTCAGGCACCTTCATATCTGAGGACTTTAAAACACAGCAGTGGCAACATAACAGTTCAACCTTTTATCTGCCAGGAGAAAGTGGTCATTTAAATAAACATTAACTAAGCTGGGGAGCTTTGATGTCACGTTGGCAATTTGCTCCTGACAGACAAGATTCTTAAAGTCTTATTCTGTGTTCCTGCCTGTGGCAGGGCGTTGGAACTGGATGATCTTAAGGTCCTTTCCAACCCAAATCATTCCACGATCCTACGATTAAAGCTGCTGGACAGAGACAACCAGGCAAAGAATTCAACTGTCTCATTTGGCTGATGTTCATATGTAGAGCATTAATCTTAACCTGTTTTCATCTGCTTTGGCAAAGTGCAATGCAGAAAAAAGGTGGATTATGTTTCCTGTTACATACTTCCCAGCCCTCTCCCATTCAGGAGCACAGCATGGGAACCCCTGCACTGCAGAAGTCACCACTGAATCAGCAACAGGAAGCGCCATGCTCAGGCTCAGCCTCTTGCCATCAGTGGGAGGGTGCCTGTGCCCCCATGTCACCACGTCCATATTCCTGATGGTGTTGGAGCCCCAGAGATGTCTTAGAGGACCGGAGCCTGAAACCCACCCACAGCCCATCTCACATCCAATGGAGCATCCACACACAGAACTCCTGCTTTCTGTCTCTAAAATCAAGAATGGCAAGCAAAGGTAGGCACCAAAACCACGGGGAAGACAATGGGACTGAAAGGCACTGGAATTCTTAAAACCAAAGAACAGTCAAGATCTGTAAGCAGCCACACAAGGGAGGAGAGAAATTATTAATATCACTAAGTTGATTTGCAGCAGCTACTTGAAGTCTAACCACAGGCAGGGAAGCCACTGAGTCAGCTCTGTACAGCACAGAATCCAAAGGGAACCTCAAACATCTTCCTCAAATATCACAGAGAAAGGCTTTCCTCGGTACGTTGTGTGTTTAAGAGAACTGCTTGGAGGCTACTAAGGGTTGAGCCTTACTAACAAGCCCGAGTACAGAACCTCCAGCCACAACGCATGCAGTTATCTCTGAAATCAAGTCCTGAATTTGAGAGAATACAAATAGGCAAAGAACAAAAGGATCCTTTGATGTATTCAACCGCATGATGTTTAGCAAAAAATGCAAATGTTCTCTCATGCTAGAGAACACTTATCAATATTAAGGCATACACGGAGGAGAAGAAAGAGGGAAGAACAAAATACAACACTTAACAAGAAGGTAATTTAGCCTGTTGGCAAGCGCTTTAAGTCTGGTTCATGAAAAATTACTTGCACAATTGTTTTGCAGGGTTTCTGGGCTTTTATGCATAAATCATAGTATTGATTCAATGCAAGTATCATACCCTTTCAGGTGTTCAACTGCATGTGGGCACAGCTAAAGCAACAAAGGATTTAAGCGTGGAAACTGGAGAGGGAAAAACCATCCCCCCCTGGTGCTCTGACGAGCTCAGCTACAGTCCTCAAACACAACTGCAGCCGTCTCAGGACAGCATCCATGGAGGGGATAACTGCCATGCTGCAGTGGGATTAACCCCCCATCTTCTTTCCCCTTTGAGACTGCACTTTCTTTTTTGATAGAGGAAAGTTAAGAACAGAAGGCACTGGAAGGCCAAGGATGGCCAAGGGAAAGAGAAATAAAATCAATTGTGTGATACAATCTACACCGAATGTTGCAGTCAGGGTGAGGAAAGGGAAGGAAGCATCAGGAATAACCTGTGAGGGCTCATTTCATGGTATCGTATTGGCTAGTCACATTTCTGGTTCTTAAAATAGAGGGAAAGGCTCCTGTGGCATTACCATCTGCAGGAGAAATAGGCACAGAGGAGGGTTAGCGAGGATGCTGTGGCAGGCAAAAAGCCCTGGAAATGAAAATGGGCACAAAGAATCCCTCTCACTTTGCAGATATGAAGGAATTTAATTGCTTCCTCTCCCAGTTCATCCCTCAGTATTTTCTGCATAAGAACATTATATTCTGCATGCAAAGACATTAAGATGCCCACAGCCTGGCAAACTCTCCTCCTTGCCCCTTTCTCCAGTAACCTGGAGATATAAAACAAAGGCCTGAACAAGTTCAAGATAAACAACTTATACACACTTTAAAGTCAAGAGTTTCACTTTGCTTGTACCATGGGGAAATGCAGATGACGCAGCAATGATCGCTCTTTCTAATGAAGACCCAAACCATTCTATGATTCTAATTTGCACTGCACTCATCTTGCTGTTATTTACTATCATTACTTACTCATGGTAACAGTAATAATGAAGCCAACAATGTGGTCACACCAAGAAGCCACATTTGTGACTCTCCCCAGCATGGTACCAGGTCTGCAGCCTGTCTGAGCAGCTTCCACACTATCATTTATTAAAAGAAGCTATTAAAAATCTCACACAATTGTCTGACAGACACAGGAAATTATTCCCATGCCTACTTATTCCGATTCCAGCCTATTTTTTCCATTGCCTTCCCCTTCACCAGCCATAAAACTCAAGGAAACCTCTGCAAGTCCTTTTAAAGCTGCAGCAGTGAGTGTGCTCCCATCGGTGCGTTAAGCCCCAGCCTGGATTCCTTCTCTCCAAACCCAGCTTTTACTGTTGCAGCTGTAGATCTCTATCAGGAGCTCAGAAGCTACTGGAGAGCAGCCCCATGGGAAAAGGTCAGGTTTTATGCAAGAAGGTTTAAACCCATAATCAAGCTTTTGTTCTAAATGTCTCTTGCCCTAAAATCTTAATAAATAGTAAGGAAATCTTCAGGCTACACTGATTTAATTTGACCAATCTGTTTCTTTCCAATCTAAATAAAAGAAGTGGGGTAGAGTAAGGGAATTATTTGTATTATTATTATAACGAAAAATAACCATCTGTGTCAGTGTCTAAAAGCAAATGAATGCTTTTCTTCTTGTTCCAAAGTTATAATGCAATTAAGTTTTATTCCAGTACTTAGCCACATTTACTCCACTTCTCCAATGGTTGAGAATTCAAGCCCTAGCAGTGCTACTAACTGGCCCTGATAAGCCAGGAAGGGATATGAAGTTGAAATAGCCTGTGGTGCAGTGCTAACATCAAACTTCCATCTTACCTGTTACAAAACTATGCATTTATTTAGCACTTCAGATGAAACTTTCATTCATTACCACCACCCTTGCTGTAGGTATTACTGTCCTTATCTGACAAATGTTCAGACCCAGAGCACTTGACCAAGACAGTGCACAGAGGCGTCAGCAGAGCCGGGTGCAGAGCTTGTGGTGCAGCCCCATCCCTTCCTCTTGGGGAAATACCTACAGGTCACCAGTTCTTTCTTAGCAAACACATTATTGTTCACTCTGTTCAGTATCTGCTGCTTTGATCAGTCCCATATTAAATTACTCAAGATTGACAGAACTGTCTCTGTTTCCCCTGGGAGGCTCTTTGACAAGCTATTGGGCTTTAGTGTGAGATCTTTCCCCTTTATATTCACCCCCTTTTTCCCCCATCCCTATTGTATTATCCAATTACACATGGTTGTACCTTCTGGCAAAGTGTTCCTTCCCTCCTGATCCTCGCACTGGTTGGGTGCCT